ATTAATTTTTTGGATTAGATGGATCGTCAAGATCAAAGAATTGTTATCAACAAATGGTTTGATTTACGTCGAAGAGCTATAGTTCAACTACTGTGTGCTATTGTTTACTATTATGTCTGAATGTCTCGTAAGAGAAAATTGTGTTAAAGTATGAGCTCTGAGAGAGAAAGGGTTCGCGAAGAAATAATGTATTGATTTAGTAACAATGAAACTAGTAAAAATATATTAAGAATGTGTCCTAAAACTTTTATGAGCTTATGTGGTCTGTTAGAAAGAGAGGGGGATTACAAGCTACTCGATGGTCCAGTGTGGAAGAGCAAGTTGCAAAATCAATCTACATATTAGCACATAATGCTTAAAATCGTGAAGTCAACTTTTGGTTTCGTCGTTCTGGCGAGACTATTAGTCGTCATCTTCATCGAGTTTTGAGAGTTATTCTTGAATTGGAAGAAAAATTTCTTATCCAACCCAATGACTCAACGGTCCCTCCTGAAATTTCTAGTAGTTATAGATTCTACTTGTATTTTAAGGTAAATTTTGTTATTAATAAATTATATTTCCTACACAAAATTACTAAATTTTTTAGTAGTCATAGATTTTATTGATAAAAATATATAATATTGTGTTAGGATTGTGTTGGTGCAATAGATAGAACACATATACGTGTCAAAGTATCAGCAAAAGACTACCCGACACAAAATATTTTAGCAGCATGTACTTTTGATTTAAAGTTCACTTATGTGCTCGCGGGACGAGAAGGGTCTGCCTCTTATTCGAGAATAATAAAGAATGCATTAACACGTGAAGATAAACTTAAAATTCCTCAAGGTAATATAAGAGCAACCTAGAGTTATAGTTATTTATACTATATATATTAAACCATCACATTTATCATTTACCTTTACTATAGGAAAATATTATCTTGTTGATGCTGGATTCATGTTGACAAGTGGATTAATTACACCTTATAGAGAAGTTCGGTATCACCTAAAAGAATATTCGGCTAGAAATCCACCCCAAAATTCTAAAGAATTGTTTAATCTTCGACATTCATCTTTATGTAATGCAATTGAAAGAGTCTTTGGTGTATTGAAAAAAAGATTTGAGATTTTATCTAATTCAACAGAGCCAAATTATGGAGTTAAAGCTCAAAAGTTAATCATTTTTGCATGTTGCATTCTTCACAATTATCTAATGAGTGTGGACCCGGATGAAGACCTTCTAGCTGAAGTAGATGCTGAAATTGCAAATCAAAATGTATCTCAGGACAATCATCAAGGTTCAAGAAGTGATAGAGATGAACTTGCTTTGGTCGGAGTTATAAAAGATAGTGTAGCACATCAAATGTGGTTAAATTATCAAAATAACGATTTAGCTTAAAGAGTCTGACTTGTATTTTATATTATTACTTTTATGTTTATTGTTCTTTGACGAAGTAGTACCAAATTTATTATGATGTGTATTGTGATATTGAGACTTCTTGATAATTATATTTATTAATTTTGTTGTGTTATAATTCTTCATATTCATAGTTTGTGGCATCGAAAAATCAACTACCAGTTTGGGATGCTCTAATTGAGGTAACTTTGATGAACTTTTTATTTTATTTTAAAATATTTTATTAATCAATAGTTGTATAACTTTTATTAATATTATATCTTTTATTTATCATACTTTTCAGTCAAAACCAAAAGCATTAAATTTGAAAAATGTACCACTTCTAAATTTTGAGAAAATGGTGATACTTTATGGACCTAACCGAGCTGATGGAAAGGAATATGGAACTTTAAAAGAGACAAGAAAACAAAAGTTATCGGTCACCAATGAAGACTTCGTTGAAACTATCCAAGACATTGATGACCATGTTGTCCGGAATGAGGTGAATTTGGAAAGTTTTGATGCTACTTACGATTTTTCTGTACCCGAAACACAATCCTCAGATCCTTTAAGTGGTAGTAAAAGGAAGAAAATGAAAGTGGTTAAAAACAAAGATACAAACAACGATATTGTTGAACTCCAAGAATCATTTGTCTTAGTTGCAAATGCACTAACAGAAAGAAATGCTGCAATACGAGAAGGAAATGAAATAATGAGAGAATGTCAAAAATATGAGTTGCCTCCAATTTCAGGGGAAGAAACATGAAATTTAATAAAAGAGTGTGGATGTGATGCAAAGTCATTGCCTCAAATATATTGCACTGTCATGAAAGACGATGACAAACTTAGAATGATTCTCCAGTGTCCACTTGAAGCACGCAAAGCAGTGGTAATGCAAATGGTATTTGGTTCATCGGATTGATCATCTTATAATAGTCTTATGACTTTTATGAATATTTTATTTACAATTTAATATGTTCTGAATATTTTGCTTACATTTTAATATGTTTTTGAATATTTTGTTTTAATTTGTGTTGTTTATGAATGAACAAGTTTTTATTTGGTAAAATTTACTCAAAATTATTTTTATCTAGTATTGTTTTTAGTGTTACTAAACACAAGTGATAATATTCGTAAGGATAAAAATGTAATTTGGTTTTAAAATTTCTCCCCTTCCCTTGTGAACCAAACATATATGGAGTTAGAAATTCCTCCCCTCCCTTTCTTTGAACCAAACATACATTAGTTAAAATACATCCTCTCACCTCCCCTCCCCTTTATTAAAATCTCTCCCCTCCCCTCCGTTGAACCAAACGGACCCTTAGGGTTGTGGTGGTTTTCTTCTCAAAATTCTTCTAGTTTTCATTTTTCCTATACTAAGGTGCGGTTGGTGTTTCTCTCATGTTGTTGAGAGAGAGTTTTGGTTGTTGATATTCACTTGTAATCTTTGAATCATAATAGAAAAAATGAATAATAAAATACTTATAATCAATCCTAATTCTTATTCTTCCTTCTTCCATCTTTTTCGTAAAATATAATAGGATTTCTTATGTTTGTTCAAGAAATTAAATCTTTTTCATATTTTAATTTGTTTTTTACGACATCAATTCACAACAAGAATAATAATAATTGTCATGCTTTGAGTGATGTGGACACTGCTTACTAGATTATAGCATTTTACATGTTATTTTCTTTTTTTTATATGTATTGATTTAAACTAAAATAATTTTAAAAAATTAATAAACATTAAATAAGTATATATAAATTATATAAAAAAATCCCAGTTCTTATTCAATCTGTTTTCTCTTTTATATTCTTTTTTCGTCGATGATTGTTTTTAATTGTCAAATTAAATATCTATTAAATGATTAGATTTCCATTTTCATTAAAAAAACAAAGATTACCCATTTTTCATTTAAAATCCAGATTATCAGCATATCATCTCAAACCGCTGACGAAGGCCCAACCGTTCAGAGAAATCTAAGAAGGAGCAACATTTGTAATGGGCAGAACCTTCGATTCAAACAATGTAAAGGGAACTAAAACCATAGATCTTGGACAACGAGGAGGTACAAGTAGAAAAAGGGATTGGGCGAGTCAGATGGGACAATCTTATTGGCACTCTCCTCTTCATAACACACTTATATAATGATGCCAGCCTCGCCGTGCGTGCCAAAAAAATTAATATGCCTCCGAAAAAAGGACATAATTTCCTCACATATGTAATGGGTCTCAAAGTCTTCGACACCCGTGTGCTTATAAGTGTTGACTGTCATTAACTAAAGAGAGTAACTATTGTTATTATAATCATAAGTGCTACTGTAACTCTCAAAATCCCCATTTGTTAGAGCTTGTAGTTGGTCGTTTCATCAGCTCTCTCGGTGTTCTTCATCCGTACAACTTGGTTCACTCTCTACCATTTTGATACTCTCTTCTAAATACCTAATAATCATAATGACTAAAAGGGAAAATGTGAATAAAACGAGTAAGGTGAGGATGAGTGAAAGTATGAATTTGGAGAAGATAAATTGCGTGCTCTGAGAAGGAAGTGTGTGATAAAGTGTTTGAAAATGGGAGGTAATTGTCTTTTTATAGAACCAAAAACTAAGTTGAATAGGTAATGATAATTTCCTCCCAGGCGTGCTAACGAATGTTGAGAGACTCCCCACGTCTCGTGCAGGGTCCCAGGTCGTTTAGTCTTTCCCAAGCAAACCCATCATTAAAATTATTTTATAATGCATGTGTCAATGTCGGTAACATTTAAGGGAGTCACCTAAGCTCTACTTGAGAGACTCACCCTAAACTTTGTCTGAGGGACTTGCCCAAACACTGCTTGAAAGATTCGCTCTAAACTCAACTTAATGGACTCGTCTAAAACATCGCTTGAGAAATTCACCCCAAATTTTGTTTAAAAGAATATGCATAATTCTATTTAGACGAAGTATCCCAAGTACCTAGCCGAAAACTTCTTTGAGATCTCTGGATAGAGATTTGAGTCGTCTTCATTAAACCCTTTAATATATTAATATAATTAATTATATTTTAATTAGAACTTTAAATAATAATTAATATTTATATTTTAGGAGATTTGTTTATTACTAGTCGTTTTCACACACTCTTCCCACTTGAGTGAAGAAAGGGAAAAATAATGTGTCCCATCAATCCTATCTTTCTTCCCTATTTCTAAGTTTCATAGTATCTCTTTCGAACTTGTCTCTTAGCAAACTCTCTATTGTCTATTTCACTCATACCAAACCTAGGCTGTTACGAAAAAGAATTGAAGATTTTTTTAGTTTGGAACAGAAATTGAAAGGAGCGATAATTGTACGACACAAGAAACATTACATCGATGAAGAAGGAAACGGCATCAACAACCTCTTCATAGTCCCTGGTTCACTTCTACCATATTATTGGTCTTCAAGATTCAACCTCTCACCAAAGATTCAATTGTGTTAAGCTTCACCCTCAGTTGGTCTTAATTCTCAATGTTCACCAACTGTTTGATGTTTTGCTTCTGTGAGCACTGTTCACATTTTGGTGTGCAAAATTAATTATTTTTTAATCCTGGGATTCTTATACTTGTTACTTATAACAACTGCTTCTTTTTCATAACTAACATCATAATGTTGTCCATGCTTGCGAGAAAGGCTGCTTTCATACACAATCAACGTTTCCTAGTGAAGTTGAGTGCATTCAATCTATGCTACAACTCTCTCACCACTGTTCCCAATAAGGATGATGTTGCTTCAGCGAGTTCTCTATCCGAACCACCTTCTGAGTATAATTCTAGTAGCAACCTTCATCTTTCGCCGTTTTTGTCCAACTTCAATCACCCCTCGAGTGGATTTGAGATTGAGCTTGTCGACCATGATGCTTGGGGGGTCTCCTCTGTGGTGGCACAAGCCTGGCGACAAGGGGATTTGGCTGCTTCAGAAGCTATTTCTTGTGGTCAGCGTGTCATTGATGAACCCCTAGATTCTCATTCCACGGATGTGGATGATGAACTTGATTTTGAAGACATAGACAACATGAGAGTTCGTGGCAGTCTGTTTTATAAGCTAGAGCGTAGTTCCATGGAGTTTGAAGAGTATAATCTAGAGTTTCACAAGAAGAAATCATCCAAGAAGAAAAACAACAAGAATGAGTTAATCAGCAAAGCTAAAGAAGCTAAAGCTAAAACAAAGCCAAATGTGAATTCCAATGATCAGAAGCTTCCCAAAGTTAATGATTTTGAAAGACACAGTAAAAGTGTTGTGCCCCGGATGGACGAAATCAATGACGCGTCTCCTGAGAACAAGAGACAGAGGGTTCCCACTTTTAACCAGCTTACAGGTCCTTATCATGAACCATTTTGCTTGGACATCTATATATCGAAAGCCTCTGTCCGTGCCTGCATTGTTCATAGGGTAACTAGCAAGGTTGTTGTTGTGGCACATTCTATTTCAAAGGATCTCAAGTTTGATCTGGCTTCAACCAAGAATAAAACCACTTGTGCTGCCGTGGGGAAAATTCTGGCTCAGAGAGCATTGGCTGATGATATTCATGATATTATTTACACTCCAAGAAAAGGAGAAAGGGTGGAGGGAAAACTTCAGATTGTTCTTAATTCAATCATTGATAGTGGTATAAATGTGAAGTTAAAGATTAAACAACGACACAAGAAGAAGTCTTTCAGCTCACATTTTAACTAGCTAGGGCCATTCTTGTTCAATGGAAATTTGTATACTGTACTACCCATGGTTATATGATGATGTATCTGAGGGAATGAACTATTTACATTTTTTAACATGGAATGATATATGGATCACCATTCACTTCTCTTTCGCGTCTTCTCCTATTATCTCTCTCTCTCTTTCTTGTTCCACATTGACCTGTTACTGCATCACCATTCACCACTCACAGGTTTATCATTGCTTGCTGTATTCTTCTTTCTTTACTAGTACTTTTACTACAATATATCAATCCTGCAACTTTCTTGTTTTAATTCACGTTGGATGTTCTTGAACAAAACATTTCAGTGTTTCATTTTCTTATGGGTTTATCTCAATTCAAGAATGTACCCTATGAAAATCATACTTCACCTCATTGTATTTGTTTTTAATTAATAGAATGATTTATTGTTGGTTGATCATAATTAGACAGGTGAATTCTTGTATGAAAGATATTTATTATTTTCTTTATGGAACTTCAATACTATGCTTGTTTCTTGTTAAACAGCACATCAATCGTACTATTTTATATTTTTGTTTTCTGCTGTTGTAATGATATGTATGTTATTATCATATAGTAATCAACAGTAAAATGGATGAATCGTAATCAATTTTGCATCATATTGTTCGGCAAATTGCTACAATTTTTTCAATTTTCTCGTCTGCATAATGCAGGATGGCAGAACCTGGAAATACCGTGGCATTTGAGGAAAATTTGTTACTTTTTTCTGATATAGCTGTTGAATTCAATATTGGCACCTCACAATGCAGTGTTGCTGCGTGGAATGGTTCCCAAGTCACGTGTTTAAAAAACAGAAGAAATCAAAAGTTTATGAAATCATTTGTGACTTTGAAAGATGAAGTCCCTTCTAGTGGAGTTATCAAACCACTCTCCAACGAGCACAAGATGTTCTTTGGAGATAAAATTTTCAACATGACGCCTCATTGGCAGAGTTGATACTATTCTAGTAGTCCGTGCTAGTAAATATCTCTTAGAAGAAGCCCTTGCAATGCTTCTGGTGGATTTAAGACTGATGACGAAAACTCATCTGAAAGGACCAATAAAAGATGTAGTGCTTACGGTTCCAGTTTCCTGCAGTGGTTTCCAGCGGATCCGCCTATGGCGTGCTTGTATGATGGTTGGTCTTCACATTCTCAGGATGATGCCTGAACCAACAGCAGTGACATTGTTATATAGACAGCAACAACAGAAAGCTTCTCAGGAATCTATGAGCAGTGAAAGTGAGAAAATGGTCTCATTTTCAATATGGGTGCTTGTTTTTGTGATGTTGCTGTGACTGTTGCTATGACTCCTACCGGTGGAGGAGTATCCCAGATAAAAGTGTTGGTAGGAAGTACTATTGGTGGAGAAGACTTCTTCAGAATATGATGCACCATCTCTTACCGGATTTTAGAACTATATTCAAGAACCGTGGGATCAAAGAAAACTACTTGTTGGGATATTTCAAGATAATGGGAATACCTGCCGCACTAAAAGGAGTTCCTGAAATCGGTGTGTGCATGGATCTAGATGCTGAGAGTTTTAACTACTGTTGGGATGCCTTGAACCCGTGCAGCTGCATTCCTGTGATGCAAGATGGATGCCAATGGTTGATGATGCACATGGTTGGTGTGCTGAGGCCCTAAATTGAACCTTTGGTGACACAATGGATTTGGTTACTCTCAACAAAGGCGCAAATTGATATTTCAGGCATCATTTTACCTTTTTTAGTTGGTTTTCCTGTGTTTCGGCAACAGAAGTTCATTTACATGTATAATGTTTGTAGTATAATGGAAACAATACATACAATACTTTTTTTCTAAAGCTTCTACTTCGGTTGATTCCCTAAAGTTTGTGATGTAATTTTCTGACTCTCACTTGATTTCTAATACATGTATAATGTTTGTGATGTAATTTTCAAGTAAGTCAAATCATTCATATGAATAGTAACATGTGAATGCTGAGTCAGCAAGGCATTATCTTCACTCTTGTAAGGCACTCTAGTGTACCAGGTGGCTTAGGAGAGAACAAAGCCTTGTACATGTGTGTCTTGATAGACACTCTTATAAAGGTTATTGTTTTTGCTTGAAATGCAAGAGGAAGAGGAATAAGAAAGACCTATGTGTCAAAATAGGAAACCTTCCAAATGATTTATAGGTACCTTCAGCCACAAGCTACTCTTTAGTGAAAGAGAAAATTGAAACACCAATAGAGGCTTCTTTTTTCTACTTTTTCAGTGATGAAAGTGTGAGATTTAAAGCTGATTAGTGGAGTGTTCCCTTAGGAATATAAGGTATGAAAGTTACATTATACCTTACAACAAATATTAATGTCATCATTGGCCTACATTGGAATGTGAAAATGTCCCCAAACATGAATATTTTTATCCTTGTCTAAGCAAAGGCTATATATACAAGAGTTTTTTTCTCTGTTTCTCTCTTACCCTCTTCTTAGAATAACCTTCTTCACTACATTACATGAGCCACACCTTCTTCATCAAATGGGGTGGCTTCAATCCCTCTTCTCTCCATTGAAGAAAGTTTGGTTCAAGTTGCATTCAACTCAAAAGAAGAGTAACTTCCATGACACTTTCCATACACTGCATTATTCATGTTTTTTGTTATTTTCTTCATTTTTCTTAGTAAACTTTGTAGAAAACTTCTTATCCTTGAAACGATCAATCACAAACCATTCTTCTTTTACACAACCATTCTTATTTATTGCAGGAAGAGGGATATACATTCTATATGAAGATGTGAAATCTTGTCCCTATGAAGATGTGCAAATCCTCTGGTCAATACTAGTAGAATCACATCCATCTTCTATGTCATCGTGAAAATGAAGAACACAACATAACTGAGAAGAGGCTTGCTGTAATAATGTATATAAAATGTTTAGAAATCATCACAAATTATCCATTGCTTTTTTAGAATTTTCTTTTGCATATTCCCTACTTTTTTTAATACTTGATTTATTCTGTCTTTCTTTTACTTTTTTCCTTTATGTCATCCATTTTATTTTTCATTTATCTTGCTTCCCCTACTTAATCTTATAGAAATTGAATATTTATAATGCCCCTTTTCCTTTTAACTTTTGTAACATTTGCATTTCTTTGAATTCTGTGTCTTATAAAGCATCCACTATGTCCATATTTTCCCCCTTTCTTCAATGCATTCCATATTTTAGAAAATCTGTGTGTAGGGAAGTTGTTTGTAACTTTTCAAAAGAAGTTATTGTTAAGGCTTGCTGTTGGTAAAGTGTCTATTTTAAGGTGTTGAAATGGTAGTTTTTGTTCCTTAGTTTTCTTTATTGAAATTAGTGAAAATTATTTTGTAGTGAATAGAACAAACTAGCTACATATACAATAAATAATACATTTTTGCTGTAAGAAAATGGAGTTGATGTAATGTGATGCTATAAGTTGATTATATGATGCTAATATTTTGATATCCATATGCAGAGTATACTATTCTATAAATGCATATTTAGTTATGATATTATTTGTCTTAAAGAAAAGGTTTGTTAGATCAGCTCAGGTAATAGTTGTACAGAAACGTCAGAATGGAAGAACACGGATTCAAACTCGAGACATTCAACTTCAGAATGGAAGGACACGGATTCAACTCGAGACATTCAACTGTAAACTACTTTTGACAAAAAAAAATGGAATTGCATGATCGAGACATGTTTATTTTTAGTCACAAGTTTAGTATGGAACCAATAACAATGATGAAGCAATTATAAAGAAGAACCATACACAATCATGGCATATTATAAGAAACAAGAAAAGAGTCAATATTCCATTGATTTGTGGCAAATACATTAAAAACTGAAAACAAGATTAGTCATTAGCTGTAGCTAACTGCATTGAGAGTAGTTCATCCTCTGGTATAACCCTAATATGACAATCAGAACGAGGGTAGGAAGCACAGAGAAGTGCATAACCACGTTCCACAACATCATCACTCAGCATTCCATCACTCTGATCAACTTTGCCACTTATAAGACGAGCAGGGCAAGTCATGCAAACTCCAAGCTTACAATCATGAGGGACAGACAAACCAGAATCCAATGCCTTTGACAGTATGGTCTCATCAGGTTCAACTTCAAGCTGTGTGGACTTGCCATCATGCTCAATCACCACTTTATAAGAAGACTTCACAGTGAATCTGAGTGATGGTGATTTCTTGTTTGTGTTGAACTGAGAAGAAGAAGAAGATGGAAACTTAGTTGTCTGTTTGAAAAGAGTTAAGGGTGTAAATTGAAGGGTTGCCATGTTTTGGTGTTTGGAGTTCAAGAAAACAAATGTAAGTGTTTGTGAGATGAGATTGAACTTGAAAGGATAAGATTTGTGGTGGTGGATTGGTGAGGACATGTGGCAATTTACTCTTTTGTACACACCTTGCAGCTACTGGTTAGTCTCTCAAAGGGAGTTAATAGGGTACATGACAATTATTTCAAAATATATGTAATTTATTTTAAATGAAAATTTAGAACTTTTATTTTTGTTTAAATACTCAAATAATTTGAAACTTAATTCAATTATTCTCTTATACAAAGTATTTATTTTTGCATAGTAAGAGTATTTTTTTTGGTGCAATTTTTTTTTTAATTTTTCTTTTATTTTAAAGGTTGGAATTTTAAGAAATTTCATTTAAATTCGTTGAGTTGTGCATAATAAAAATAAAAACACTTCACTTTTTTATGATATACTATAGGCATTTGTAAAACCAATATTCTAAATATACATTAATATAATATTTTTGACAAAACTGAACTTTGTTTCTAAGGAAATGTGTTTTAAGAAAACTATTTATCATCCTCAATTCAAACTCTAGTTTTTAGTTTCTCAGTCGCCTCCTTAACAATGCAGTGAACAGTCTCATTTTCTTCTTGCTCAATAGATCAAGGTTGGGATTTGTTCTAGATTTTTTTGTAGTGTGTCATGATAAATAAAGATAGCACAATATTTGTTTGGAATTGTAGAGGTGCAGCCAACAAATCATTATATCGACATTATAAGTTAATTGTTGTGTAATTTTTTCATTTGAACTTTAATTCTTTATGTTATAAAATAAAAATAAAAAACGACATATCATCAATATCGTTATATAAAATAAATATATAAATTATTTAATATTTTAAAATAAAATTTTCTTTCATACTTAAAGAGATTAGCATATTTATGTCTGTGTCGCCATGAAAAATCTCAATTAAAAAAATCCCATGTTGCAATAGTATGTTGGATCATGAAGCTACCATTTCACCGCAAATTCAGAGAAATACAACACAAATTCAAACATTGCATCATACGATTGACCATTAAAGATATTGCTTTTAGAAAATATTCCAATGGTTGATAACAGATTAATATAAATATGGTTGACCATAAAATATTTTGCTTTTGGAAAACGCTTCAATTGTTTATTGTACATAAACAAATATACATGGATGAATGATAAGAAACATCCTAATAAACACGAAATCGGATTCTCTAAATCCACTTCTACCTCAATCCAACTCATAAAGTACTCGGCAAAAGGATATTGCAAATCCATTTAAATATAATTAAAATTCTAATACAAAAGAAATGGCTACATAAAAATACTCTAATAATTTATTTTTTCTTGAGAAAATAAAAGTATAACTTTCTTAATTATAACGCTTAAAATTTCAGAATAAAATATAATCAGTTGGATATAAATATCATAATACATATTCGAATCCACTATAATCTATTTATTCGCTTTAAGAATTATTTAATAATTTGTTTCAATGTATATAAGATAATACATATAAGATGGTTTGAATTTTATTATTTGAAATTGTGAAAGGAGTAGTTTTAAAAATTTCATAAAAAATCACAATATTTTTTCATTTGAGAGTTAAGTGTAATAAATACACCGTTTTTTAAAGATTTAATATCTTTTTTAGTTTCTTACATATACTTTTGAGTCAGTTTTGGTCATTTTTATTTTAAAACGTTCAATTTGATCTCTTACGTTATTAAACAGAATCAAATAAGTCATTTCTTTCAAATATTGATAAATGGTGTTAGAAAAAGAGGACGTGACAACTGAGGTGGATTGTCCTATTCATCACTTTTTTCTTTTTCGTTGTTGAAACAATTCACCAGATACCCCTAATCTAAACCTAATGTGAATTGCTCATAAATCCCCAAATTGAAACCTAATTCGTCTATATTAGTGCAATAAGCATGAGTTCTGGTCGCGGTTCATCATCATCATCGAAAAACATAACTGATTCGCAGGTATTTAGCCGCTTCAATCTTCCATTGTAGCATTTTTGTCATTGTGGAGACAATTTTGTACTTCGAAGGGCAAGAACAATTAACAATTATGGAAAACTTTTTTGGGTTGTCAACATTTTAACGTAAGCTTTAGTTTGAATAATCTAAGTTGAAATTTTGTTGAATTATGTATATATTACATTGTAATTTTCCGCACTTAATCTCTACAGCAATATAGTAATGTTGGTTTTGGATTCTTTGAATGGTTCTACGAAAAAGTTAGAGATGAAAAGGAACAAATCATGATGAAACAACAAAGTAAGATAAATGTGCTAACTCAAGAGATGGAGGAAGACAAAAAAGAGGTTGAAGTATTGATATTGAGTAATATGGAATTAGAATATGCTTTGAAGAACATCATCAAGTAGAAAAAAATTTGGAAGTTTATGTTCTATGTTGTGTTGTTTGTTAAGTTTTTCAAGTTGTTGTAAAACTTTGAAGTTTATGTTGAATGTTGTGTTATATATTTTAGTATTCAAGTTGTTGTAAAAGTTGGAAATTTATGTTGAATGTTGTGTTCTATGTTTAGTATTCAAGTTGTTGTAAAAGATGAAAGTTTATGTTGTATATTGTGTTCAAAGTTGAATGTTTTATGAATGTTATATGCAGTGTTCAAACTTGCATAGTTTTGACAATATTTAGTTACATGAATGTTTTATGCAGTCATCAATCTTGCATATACTTGTATAAATTAATGAGTAACGAAGTAGAACATAATTATAATTGAATAATTGAATGATAAACTTCCACTTGATTAAACCTTGTTCCAAATAACATTGTTCAAACCTTGGTCAAAATGACATAATTTGTTACAGACATAACTTAAACCTTGTTCAAAACAGACATGACATAAACCATGTTCTCAAAATAGAAGTTACATAAGATTGTTACAATACATAGATGACTAAATGTTTTTCTTTGGATTGTTTATTTTTGTTGGAGTGGTCCTCCTAGTGGTAGGTCCAATTGTATTTTGTGATGCACTTAACCTAGTAGTTGGACCATTTGTAACAGATGACTAAACTAGTTCCCTAATAGGTAACTTCTTTGGCCTCCCTCCTTGCTGAGATGAATGTGTAACAAATGACTGAGTTGATTGAGTTGGTGGCCGAGTCGAGTTTGAATCACTGCCACTTTCTAACTCCTCACTATCATATGCACTTCCATTCTCATCTCTATTGTCTCCTTCCCATTTCTTTTTCTTCTTTTTACTTGTTCCTTCATGGTTTCCATCATATTTAACTAGGTTGTCTAAGTGTTCTTCAGCATAATCCTCACTCATATCAAAATCACTAAATGCAACTTTCAAAGCACTATCATAATTGTATGTCTCATCCTCACTGTCATCAGAGCTTGTAACAACACTCAACGAATCTGCATTAGTAGTTATACCATCATGCACCTCACCATCATTGCTCAAATCCTCAGGACTTACATTCACACCTTCAACACCCTCTTTGTTTAAACCATCAAGACCTATATTCACACACCAATACCTACATTCACACCCTCTACAACATTATTGTTCACAACCTCACTACCTTGCTTATCATTCTTAGTGACTTCTTTATAAAGATCTTCAAGTATGGCTTCTACCTCCGGGTTAAACACACTTATAGGTTCTTCCTACATATTTACAGGTTTTTCCTCCATGTTTATTGGTTCTTCTATAGGACTATCAATATATTCAGGTTGGGACATGCGATGTTCTATGTAAATATCAATTGTCAAGTGTATCCTACAGAGGTCAGTAATCTCTAATGCGTCCTTGTCATCATTAAGAACATTCATCCCAAAAGTGGGGTTATTATAAGAATGAAAAATGAAATGTGAATATACTCTTACTTACCATGTCACCTAAGCATTAATCTTACTTGCCGTGTCACTTAAGCACTAACTTACCGCGCCAGCCAATTTTATGAGGCTAATCTAACGTTTCTAATAGAAAGGACAAACGTGGTTGATAAGGTAAGAAATAAAATTGGACGTTTTGAAAGAAAAATGACAAAAATAAATTAAGAGGTATATGTAAGAGACTAAAAAGAGAATTAAACAATTTTTAAACTATCATTTAATAAAAAAATTAATAAATTATTAAAATATTTTTAAAATTTAAATACGAGTTTGATAAAATAAACGTGGTTGATAAGGTAAGAAATAAAATTGGACGTTTTGAAAGAAAAATGACAAAAATAAATTAAGAGGTATATGTAAGAGACTAAAAAGAGAATTAAACAATTTTTAAACTATCATTTAATAAAAAAATTAATAAATTATTAAAATATTTTTAAAATTTAAATACGAGTTTGATAAAATAAACGTGGTTTATAGGTTGACGATATAAAATTATAATGAGTCATGTTATGGGGTACTGGTTAAAAAATTTCAATAAAAAGAATATATTATGTTTAGTTTATTCGGTATGCATAATATTCTTTAAAAAATTTGATTATTTTTATTTTCAGTACATTATATATATATATATATATATATATATATATATATATATATATATATATATATATATATATATATATATATATATATATATATATATATATATATATATATATATATATATATATATATAAACATATTTTTTAATCTATTAAATTATATTCAAATTATTATTTTAATTTTTTAACCAATAACCGTTTGACTTGTTAGCATTTCCCAATTATTATTTTACGCGTTCATATCCTTTTTCCTCTTGTCTCTTGAGATATATATACATATAAACTAGCAATTCACAGGTAGTATAATTTAGTCTTTATTAAATAGATTGCTTTCTTGTAAAGTCTGAATTGTTTGTTGTAATAAAATAATAGATAATATATTATAATAGGAATAAAATCAAAGAATGATAATATTACATCCATTTTTTTACTATATATATGGACGAGGTAGCGTTGTTAGCTTCGTCATCTGTCTGTTGATTGTTATTACCCGTGTGCTCTCGTTTCGTCATTTCAGAGGTTCTTTTTTCTTTTTATTTTTATTTTTCAATTATCTTTCAATATATCAACTAACCGCTGAATTGCCAATTTAATTAGGGTTCATAATCATTTCTCACTAATAATACATCAATAATAACACTTGCTGTTTAATTTTGCACCACCTTTTCCACTGCTCAAACGGTGTGAAACTCCCTCAACATGAACTTGATTCTATTTCTGTTTTTATTAGTTTCTAATTTTCAAGAAAAAAGAAGCTTAATTGTTGTTATTCTATGTTGATAATTCTGTAGAGAATTTATAGCTTTCTCAATGCTGTTTATTGTTTGTCAGGTTTTTGTAGTGAGTGAACTTTTGCCATGGCTGTCGAAAGATCTGGAATTGCTAATGATGTTACTGAAGTCAGTTTCTGTTCCTTCGTGATGCTCATTTTTTGTGTTCTCTGGTAGATAACTAACATATTCTTGTTTTTCAATGTTTGGTTGGTGTAGTTGATTGGAAAAACCCCATTAGTGTATCTAAATAAACTTACCGATGGTTGCGTTGCTCGAGTCGCTGCCAAGCTCGAATTGATGGAGCCGTGCTCTAGTGTTAAAGACAGGTAACTATTGATTATGAGTTTTTATTCATTCTTTTCTTACAATTGTGTTTCACATGGGGTTTTGTGATCATGTATATTTGACATGCAGGATTGGTTATAGTATGATTGCGGATGCTGAAGAGAAGGGGCTTATCACACCTGGACAGGTTGGTTTACTTTGATAATTAAAGAAAAGTGAAGCTAGTAATAGATTCGTAAAAGTGCCTTCTCTGAAAGCAAAAACATCTTAATTTTATGTTACTATCATAGCATTCATTTTAGATTTTAAGGATACATAATTTATTTTTGCAATTCATAAGTATAATGTTTTGGTTTGGTAGGCAAAAGAAAAGAATTCTGGGTATTAAGTTTTTGTATCTCATAACTGACTGTTAATACTTGGGTTTCTTATTTTACTCAAGAGTGTCCTCATTGAACCAACAAGTGGTAATACTGGCATTGGATTAGCCTTCATGGCAGCGGCCAAGGGTTACAAGCTCATAATTACCATGCCTGCTTCAATGAGTCTTGAAAGAAGGATTATTCTGTTAGCTTTTGGAGCTGAATTGGTTTTGACAGACCCTGCAAAGGGAATGAAAGGAGCTGTTCAGAAAGCTGAAGAGCTATTGGCTAAGACACCTAATGCTTACATACTTCAGCAATTTGAAAACCCTGCTAATCCCAAGGTATATAAACTCATTGGTTCTATAACTGCCACAATGGATTCTCGACTTCTTGAGCTATATTTATTGTTGCTTTTGCAGGTGCATTATGAAACCACTGGTCCAGAGATATGGAAAGGCACAGATGGGAAAGTCGACGCATTTGTTTCTGGGATAGGTACTGGTGGAACCATTACAGGTGCTGGGAAATATCTCAAGGAGCAAAATTCCAATATAAAGGTTTGTTTGGATACATTTAGGGATACTTAGGAATTAGGATAGGATTTAACCGAAAAGTGAACTGATCTATACTATACCTATGCCATTCTCTTTTATATGCTCTCAACATTGTTTTGCTTTATGTAGCTGATTGGCGTGGAACCAGTGGAGAGTCCAGTGCTCTCAGGGGGAAAGCCTGGTGAGAGTTTTTCTGTAATAATTTTGTTTTTCAAAATTGCATATGAACAACAAAATTCTTGCATTACAGGTTGATCTGCTATTTAATTTTCTATTGACCGGTTTAAAAGTACTATAGAGACTTAAAGATCAAATGGAAAAGGGCCTGATTAAAAGGTGTAGAGGAAGATCTAAAAAAAATCAGGAGAAACTATTTAAAATAGGGAAAATTTGCACTTCTTAGTTTTAACTTTTTGTTTTTTGCATTTTCTTTCCAGTTTCTCTGAAATTGGGTCATGTATTGATAATACAGACAACCCCCTCAGTGGTTTAAAACATGTTTCTTTTCTTTACCGTGCAAAATCTATTTGCTGGAAGGACTAGGGGGGTTTTATCCTACCTGTCAAAATTACCGAAAGAAGATTCTTATTAGGATTTTTTATAATACAGTATTTTGTGTCTTTCCTTGTAAATTTTTCTCGACATCATTTCATGATTGGTTGACCAGATTGATCCTCTGACTCGTCACATGCTAAGCTTATGAAGTTTCTGTCACTGCGATTATATGCTGTATTTTCTCATTCGTACAATTATCCCTTCAGAGAATAGACTAAGTAATTCAATTCCTATTTGGTTTTGCTTCAGAGGGTAGATATAGTTTAACAGTTTTTATTTAGGATAAAAAGCGTTGCCCCTTTTGGTTGACATCAAAAAAATTGTGTTGTGGATAATTTACAATTTGCTGCTCTGCATGTTTAGGTCCTCACAAGATTCAAGGGATTGGTGCTGGCTTTGTCCCTGGTGTCTTGGACACTGGTCTTATTGATGAAGTCATTCAAGTAAGCTTAGACACTTGTGGATAATCGTTTTTAAAAAAAAATCTTGTAGATAATCATTATATAATCAATAATCACCCTTTATACAATATAATGATGTATGAAATTTTTTTTTTGGAAATTGTTTGGAAATGCAAAATACAGTCTTATACAGTAGGAAGATTCACATGTCCATAGTTATTGCATCTGATTGTTGATGTTTTCTTGACCTTCTTATGCCCTCAATTCCTAGATATGTAATTCATTTTGCAGTTTATTGTTTTATATATTTGAAAGATACTGAAAATCTCATTATTTTGTAATAGTTGTTGATATTTAATGTGTTAACCTGAGATATGTATAATTTGGCAGGTATCAAGTGAAGAAGCAATTGAAACTGCAAAGCTTCTTGCACTTAAAGAAGGCCTATTTGTAAGTTCTAAAGCTATATAGAAACAACTAAGAGTCAGCATATTGCTGTCCTTAATGTTTATTTTGTCGAACCTCTGGTGTAAATTTATAATTGGTAATTGGATGTGGGAAAAAAAAAACTGGTCATAGAATTCTTCTTTTTTTCCAATTTTATGATTTACCAAACCTCTTTACTCTGGTATTGTTGTAGGTGGGAATATCTTCTGGAGCTGCAGCCGCCGCTGCCATTAAGATTGCAAAAAGGCCAGAAAATGCTGGAAAGCTTATTGTTGTAAGTTGATTATATCCCTAAAATTATAGTCTATTTCATTACAAATATCAAGTTTTGTTTAAAGACAAAAAAATGGTAGCATAAGTTTCAATTAAAGAGCTAGTGATCTCTTAAACCACAATCAACAATGTCAACATGATAATGACAAAAAATAGTAGCATAAGGTTCAATTAAGATCTCTCGCCAAAGGAATTGATTTGATGTTATTAATCTAAAATATGATATTGTAGCTTAAGAACTGGCTAATATAGTTTCATCTTTCTGATTGTTTATTTTAGTTGCATGATTCTTTAAGATCAAAGCCTCATTATACAAAATGATGGAGCACTTTATTAAGTTGTAGTTTCATTTTGACATGGCGCAGGTCATTTTTCCAAGCTTTGGGGAGAGGTACCTATCCTCTGTGCTATTTGAGTCTGTGAGACGTCAAGCTGAAACCATGATCTTCGAGCCCTGAATTACTGTTTTTTCATAAGAATTTTAGTGGAATTGACTCTCAAAATTACTGTTATGTGATTCTGATGCAAAACTTGCTTTAGATTATTTGGATGGAATAATTTGGCATTTGAGAGTTATGGTTAATTTATGAAAAGAAATTGTTAGTTCTTAAGAAAGCCGCAAGAAAACTGCAGGGTACACCATCAATCAATGGGATGGACAGTTACCAAAATTGTGGCAAAGAAATTGAGAGTTATCACACATATAAGCAACAAAAGAATGCACAACTTACAAAATCCAGTTTTTTTGTGAAAATTTGCAACAAAATCCAGTTACTTGGTCACTCGTTAAACTTTAAATAATCATATATTGATGCCTAAATCAAAGACACTAACTAATGACTTCATCCAATTGATGCCAACGTTTTGATTAGTAAGAATGGTTCTTCTGTTCTCGTTAAGTTCATATGCCCCTAACAACACAAATCCCATAATCCTTCGGTCAAATGAAAATAATAATATTTGTGATGATACTATTTCCAATTTGTCTCAATTTTGTCAAGACCATAAGTGGGGGTGCAAACTTTTAAATTTTAATTACTGATTATAATAACATTTTACACAAAAAGTATACATACATTACAATTGTTAAATTTTAGTTGATGATTGTAATGATATGTATATTCAAAATTTTGTCAATTTTTTTGTCAATTTAAAACCTTGAAAAATGTACTTTTTTTTATGACAACACCAATTTAGAAAAGGTAACTCCCTTTGTATCATCATCTAAAATTCTCCTAATAAAACCTGGCGCATCTTCTATTTAAAATTCCTGCATTAACTAATGTTTATCAGTACACCTGTTTACTTTTATGTAGGAATCTACAACTTGTACTTCATTGCAACTCTCAATTAAACAATGCATTTGCTTATTTGAGGAATGCCCATCTATGATACTTGGTGTGCCATTCAGCTCAACATTTATCATCCATAAATTTTTAGTAGGCTTCATTTCGACTAGTTCAATGGCTAGGCACAGTCCAATTCACTTCTGCACCCAGAACGATTTAATAGCCTAAGTCCTGCAAGTTGAGGGCATAGAAAAACATTTTCTCTTCTGTCCTTCGTTTACACCCGTGCCCGTCACGCACGACACATCCATTCACGAACGACCACAATGCCCTTGCCCAGAACCACGCCCTTGCTCGAGGCAACGACTAGTTTCGAGTATGTCTGCTCGTCTCAACGACTAGTTTCTGACAATTACCTATTCTTAGGGGCGCGAGTATCTCGCTCCGAAAATAAGGACCAATGGCCAAGCGTTGGAGGTATTATAAAACCCGCACTTTCGAGAGGGTCAGGTATTTAATATTCACTCGAATAATCACTTTAAGAAACACATACTTTATACTTGTCTTCTCTTCTGTCGATTCTTACTTTAGCATCAGAGTGTCTTGTAGGCACACCTCCATCTTCCTTGATTCCAGCATCGCAGAAGAAGTCTCTGACCCACTTCAGGTTTTGATCAACCGTCAAGATCAGTGGCTCTGTCTGTCGAAATTTTTTGTTTTCCTCATCTTTCTTTCCTCTGAAACCCAAGATCAAAGCAGCTTCTCAAGATTCTGATCATGGTCAACCGTGAAAACGTCCATGATTCTCGCAACACCTTCATTCCCCTCGTTAGCAAGACTGACAACGACGAGGTGAAACCTCTTCTTGGAGATAATGTTCCTCAGTTGAAGGACGAAGTCACTACATCTCCCTCCCCGGATTGCGACTACAACGCATAGGTCCAGCACTCAGCGGATCACCAGTCTGTCCCAGTTCCCCCCAACGTCAACCCGACCATGGCAGCTCTGGTTGAATCCCTCAACAAGACGAACCTTCTGATCCTCCAGTAGAACGCAAGAATTAGAGCATTAAAAGAAGTTTGTCGCCCAAGATCTCCTCCACCAAGGCGCGAGCACCAGAGGTCCCGAAACCCTTCTCCTCAGCGCAGGAGGAAACACCAGATCCCAACAGAGGCAAAACCCATGACAGTCAGGAAACGCAACCACACTCCTCCCTAGAGCCAGCACTCCATAGGAGTCAAGAGAGCAAGAAGAGACCCACAGGCAAAAGGCCGACATTTGCCTCCGCCCAAACCTAATGGTCGATCGCGAATTCCTTCTCTCTGTCAGGATCGCGGTCCTCGCCCAAGCAAAGACACCCGCTCACGTTCACGGTCGAGTAATTATAGTTACAACGAAGAACCTCGAGGTCTATCATCTCAGGAGACCATGGCTACTCGACTAGCCCGGGGGCTGGAAAAACCTTCACACCTGGGCACTTATGATGGCACAACATATCCTGACAAGCACATCGATAATATCGATGCCCTGCTCGACTACCGCGGCGTCCAAGGCGCCATCAAGTGTAAATTGTTCCCGACAACACTAAGGAATGAAGCAATGTCCTGGTACAAGAACCCCTGTGAATCCATCACCTCGTGGAGGCAATTGGGGAGGATGTTCTCCAGACATTTCATGGTTTCTCGCCGACACTAGAAGACAGAGGCCTCCCTTTGGGCTATCATCCAAAGAAGAGACGAATCTCTTCGAGCTTACATCGAAAGGTTCAACAAAGAGTTCGTTTAGGTCCCCACAACTGACAACATGAAAAACCATTTGATAGAGCGCAGACCCCGTCCCCGCAGTGAATTTGGGAAAGCTGTTGGCATCGAAATCCCAACAACACTAGATGCACTCCTCCTAAAGGCTCAAGCATACATCCAGTATGAAGAAAGAGAAGCAACCAACACCGCCCGAGACTCTAGGCACCAGGAGAATGTCAGGTCCTCGAAGCACGACGAAGCCTCGACATCTCGTCGGGGAGTTGCGAAAAGAATAGATGACCGCCCCTGGGAATCCCGAGATCACAAGTGGTCATCTGGCGGTTCCACGAATACACATTGCTGACCACCTCGCGCGAGAAGATTCTCTCTGAGTGCGCGAATTTGGAGTTCTGGTAGGCAGGAGTCTGTTTCCCAAAGCAGATACTTGTTAGGCCAAACACGGACAAAACGAAGTACTGCCGGTTCCATAAGAGCCACAACCACATGACGGACAAAAACATCCATCTCAAGGATGAAATTGAGATCCTGATCAAAGACAGGAATTTGAAGCAGTTTACGAGGAAGAAAGATGTTCCTCGGCAGGAGGCCCAGGAATCAAAGAAGTGTCATCCTCGGACGGCATCAGCCTTCAGGTTACCATGAGCATCTCGGCCAGAAGATTTATGTGTCCTCCCTTATTTCACCGCGCACAGCCCCTGGGAAAACTTCTCATCCGCCATGGCCATATCAGGCAAAGGATTCAACAAGGTGATCGTGGGGCCCGTAAAGAGGAAGTTTGAGCACCTCATCAACACAAGCTCGAGACAAAGCTCTACCCTCGATAAGGTCTAGGGAGAATCAGTTCACATCACCTTCTATCACGAGGAAATCCTCTGCGGATCCCCCAACTTCAGTATTCCCCTACTCATAAGGGCGAAGATGGCCAACTTCGACGTGCGACGAATTCTATTCGATCAGGGAAGTTCGATCGACATTATGTATTCCCAGTTGTTCTCCACATTTCAGTTGGATGAGTCACACCTGACACCTTACGTTGGCTCTGATCTCCAAGGCTTCTATGGTTCACACGAAGCCCTGAGGATACGTGGAGCTGATTGTCACCTTCGGGGAAGCGGAGACGGCCAGGTCCAATTCCTGGTGATTGATTGTTCTTCCCTTTACCAGTGGATCTTCGGACGACCAACGCTGACCGAGTTGATAGTCGTGTCCTCCACGGTGCACCTGAAAATGAAGTACTACACTTTAAAATGGCTCGTTTCCGAATTGCATTGAGACATTGAAGCTGCAAGGGGGTGCTTCGAAGCAGCCTCAAAATGGCTGAGCACCATCACTATTCGGGCAAAGATATTCGGCAGGCCTGTCTTACAGCCCTGACGAGGAAAAATCGTTGCCCCACGTCGACTTCATCGACCTCGACAACTATTTCTCCAAAGAGGACCTGTGAGACCAGAAGAAGAAAGGGAGTGAGCCTCAGCCAAGCTCGAGCAACCCCTCAACATCAACAAGTAATGGTGAGACTGCTCGTCCTTTGTGGCCAATCCCAGATGGAGAGTTCGAGCTAGTCCTCATCGATGACGACCCCCACAAGGGAGTGAAGATTGGGACCAACCTCCCCGATCTTGCGAGGAAACAACTGAAGGCCTGTCTGCAGGAGAATGTTAATTTGTTCGCGTGGAGCGCTTCAGAGATGTTTGGGCTGGATCCAGAGGTGGCCTGCCACCAGCTCACCATCGACCCCACTGTAAGAGCAGTAGCCTAGCGTAAGTGCAAGTAGTCCCCGAAAAAACCGAGGCTGGCCAGCAAGCTGTAAAAGACCTCATAGAGGCAAACTTCATTTCGAAAGCCAAGTATACTACTTTGTTGTCCAATGTTGTACTTGTGAAAAAATCAAATGAAAAATGGAGAATGTGTATTGACTATACTGATTTTAATAAGGGCTTCCTTAAATAGGCTTATCCCCTCTCTAACATGGACAAATTAGTTGATAATTCTGTCGGTTTTAAATTATTATCGTTCACGGATGCCTATTCAGGCTACAACCAAATACCCATAGCCAAAAGTGATAAAAGGTACACAACCTTCATGAACGAATCAGACAATTATTACTATAACGTAATGCCCTTCGGCTTGAAAAACATTGGCGCTACCTACCAAAGAATAATGAACAAAGTCTTCCGAGGAGAAACAAAAAATCGCAATCAGACATAACGCCAAAGTCATACGACGAGACTTCCCAGTGGGTAGTCTCGTCTTGGGGAGAAATCACAAAGATTTTCGCGAAGGAAAACTCGCCGCAAACTAGGAGAGACTCTACCGTGTTCGAGACAAAACGGAAAACGGGGCCTACTACCTAGAACACCTCATCGGGGAAGAACTCACTCGACCATGGAATGTCGAAAAGCTAAA